TTGGGGCGTACGCTTTAGGTTGTGGATTACTCGACCTTTCGTCTATAAAATATATGCCCTAACTATTTGGACAAATACCATCCTTGTCCATTCAAATACAATTTCATAATTAATTGAATGAAAAAGGTGTTGTTGGGATCTAGCATTCCAACGATACCCCGATTAATTGATTGCGAGGCTGGCGTCTCGTTCATCGAGTAGTCGTCATTCTCCCTTAAAATATTCAATCCAACTCTCTTCTCTCGCCCTCGTGCGATTGAAACATTCTCAAACATATTTCGTAATTATTCGAATGAAAAAGGTGTCGTTGGAATCTAGCATTCCAATAATTCCCCGATTAATTGATTGCGAGGCTGACGTCTCGTTTATCGAATAGTCGTCATTCTCCATCAAATAACCTAACCAAACTCCTCTTTCTCGCCCCTGTGCGATCGAAACCTTAAACCTATTCAAATCCATTCTCTTTCCCAAACCAAAACATCCAATACGATAAACCTAATCCCTCGCCCTCGTGCGATCTCCAACCTAAATACTTTCTCAAAGAACATTGTTTAGTCCTTTCTTCCGCGCATAACAAACTCGAGCTTCAGCCTCCCCTAGCGAGCAGACAAGCTAATGTTTAGCAGTTAGAATGCGACTTAAACACTCGTTCATTATTTCAAACCCTTTACCCGTAGTTAGCCGAACTACGGCAGCTCTGATTTCTCATTTATGAATGGGAATGCGTAGGCATAGGATTGCGATGATCCTAGCGAGCACTTTTCCACTTTTTCTTCTCTCTCACCTTTTAGGTTCCCATACCTTTTACTAAAGAACATTGTTTAATCCCTTCTTCCGCGCATAATAAACTCGTGCTTCAGCCTCCCCTAGCGAGCAGACAAGCCAACGTTTAGCAGTTAGAATGCGACTTAAACACTCGTTCATCTTCAAACCTTTTACTGTAGTTAGCCGAACTACGACTGCTCTGATTTCTCATTTATCAATGAGAATACGTAGGCACAAGATTGCGATAATCTTGGCGAGCACAATCCCCTCTTTTACCCGTAGTCCCACGAACTACGAATGCTCTGATTTTCCACTTCTTATAAGTGAAGATACGTAGGCACAAGGGCCTCAATCCTTGGCGAGCACCCTGTCTTAAAACCACCAATTCCCCCTATAGGAGAAACCTTAGAAGAAAACTAACCAGCATAGATAACTTTACTATCGAATCGATCAAGAGGTTCCCGTTGAGTACAACGGACGTAGAGGGTGCTAATACCTTCCCTCTGCGTAACCGACTCCCCAACCTAGAATATTGGTTGCGATGACCATGTTCTTATCTCTCCTTTAAGGTTTTATCGATATTTTCCTATTCCATCCTTGGAATGAATAAAGTTCGGTGGCGACTCTGTTCGAACGTATTTTCCGCGTCCATCGCGAGGATCGTATTTTTCGAGGTACGACAGATGGCGACTCTGCTGGGGACTCGCATTGCCCTATGCAAGAGAGAGTCAAGCCTAACTTGACTCGATTTGAGAGTACTAACCTTTTGCTTAACTGTTTTCTTTATGTTTATTTTCTTCTATTATTTATTTCTTGTTTTCTCTTTCTATCGTATGCTGTTTATTATATCTGCCTGCTGGATTCGGGGATAACATTGCAAGTAAAGCTCTACACCTGAGCTTTGGAAAAAGAAGAGAGAAAACGTAGTTTAGAATTGGTAGTAATTAGTGTTAGTCCCCAAGGACTCGCTCCTTGTGTGCCTAGCATGAAAGCTCCTCTAGAGTAGATCTTTTCGTAGATCTTGTCGTAACGCAGCTAGCCTGTTGCACGATTTGATTCATGAAGGGTCCATGACTCTGGGAACCACTCTTAGAACCAGTTTCTATATTGGTGGTCGTGTAGTGTTAGTCTCCGAGGACTCGCTCCTCGTGTGCCTAGCATGAGGACTCCGCTCAGGAGAGACCCTATCGTACTCTCGTTATAATACAGCTAGCATGTTGCGTAATGTTGATGCGATCGGTGTCCGTGATCCTGGGAACCTTATCCGTCAACATAAAAGCTATCCCGTGAGTGGGTCTGTGGGTACTAAATCTAGAACTTGCCTTGTATAGTCTACCGGTTAGGGCGCTTTGACCTGCTTATGTTTTCCTGGATCTTGTTTGTGCCTGCATTGCATTCGTATATCATTGCATCTGCATTTCATTTGCATTGCATATCATCTTCCAAAACCAGAAAGCTCATCCATCCTTTGTCCATAATCCGCAGTTGATTTCCCGACACCCGTATCGGACTTGAAGCAGCTTTTGCAAGAATCATGAGTTCAGAAGAGCAGAACCAGTTTGCATCAAGAGCAGATGTTAACTTAATGAAGAGCAGATGTTGACTTAATGAAGATGCCGACTGTCAGTTGGAATCAGTTACTTTATGGCCATGTTGCTAGGCCAAGGGCTATTATGACTATGTGGCAAGCATGCCATGGCAGGCTTCCAACCAAGGCAAGGCTTCATAAAATTGGTATGCAAAATAATGTGAATGTTGTTTCTGTCCAAATGATGAAACCCTGGATCACCTTTTTTTTGGCTGTCTAGAAACTAGATCAATTTAGAGTAGGATTCTTGAACGGATACAAGCGGCTCATGTTCCTTTGGATTGGAGGGATGAAATGAATTGGATAATATTTCATGGCACGGGCAAGGGGACCTCGGCGGGACTTCGTCCTCTAGTGCGCCAATTCGCGCGTTCTGTTAGAACAACAGCTGATTTGTTTGGTTGATGGCCGCGAAGAGGGCGGCCGCTGTCGGGTCCGCTCCGGCCGGGACAGGGATGGGTTGGAATGCTGCTGGGCTCCTTGGTCGGAGAACAGTCTGGTGTACAGCTTCCACGGACGAAGGAGAGGCAGTCTGGCCGTCCCTCTCGTCGGTCTCCGGAGGTTGGGACGTCTCCGTTTGCTTGCCGCCGTTCGCGGCAGGAGCGAGGATGAGGTCGTGAACAACATCGTCGTGGTGTGGGCTAGCCATGATCGCGGAATGTTGGTGAAACTTTGGTTCTCTTCTCGGAGGAACGGGGAAGTTTTCGTTTCCCACAGACGGCGCCACTGATCTGACCTGATCAGAAGGGGATCGCTGGCTGCCACGCGTCTTCTACTTACTGCCTGTTCACCGGTGTTGAAAAAGAGAAGGGGGTGTACCTGCAAGGCACTCTGATGCTAAAGTAAGCGTATGGATAGAGTGATCACAAGTACAGAAAAAGGATAAGAAGAGAATACCTGACCCTCTAGTGAAAGAGGGTATTTATAGAGAGACCCCAGCGTAGGGCCAACGGTCATTTGAGTTGGGCTGGATGGTCAGACCCAACCCAAGTGACTACTAGGACTTACGTGGCGTAGTGAAGATCAGGATGTGGTCTTCGCCCTAGTTCAGCTGTCCCGTGATCTCCGGAAAGTGAGTTTGACCTGCTCTTTCGGAGGTGGGCAGTTGGTTGGTGACGTGTCCCCGCGGAGGGGAGCAAGTGGAGAACGTGTGAAGGACACGTTGTCCTGTCCGACAAGGGGGCAGGCTCTGCCCGCGGAGGGATTTTCTGCCCGACAGGGGCAGTGTCTGTTCGACGGGGAGTCTTGTGTTCGATACAGATGAGGCAGGTTCTGCCCGCGGAGGGACATTACCTACCCGTCGGGGACCCTGTGCTCGACGGCTGCGACCCAAGCTGCATTGGGCTTGGCAGAATATTATTGGGCTGGGCCTGCCCGGTCAAGCCGGGGCCCATGCCAAAACAACTTTTATAAATGAAAAAAAATTTATGGTTGATACAAATACTTTTATAAACGAAAGAAAGTGTAGTGTATATACAAATATTTTTATAAACTCAAAAAATTTTATTGTTGATATAAAATATTTTTAAAAATAAAAAGTATATTATTGTTGCAAATATTTTTATAAATAGTAAAAGTGTATTGTTAATGCAAAAATTTTAAAAACGGAAAAAAGTATTATTGATACAATTATTTTTATAAATAGACACATGTCTATTGTTGATACAAATATTTTTAAAAATAAAAAAAAATTATATTTGTGATTTTATAAGTATCTTTTTATCTATAATACAATTTTCCAACTAAAAAATTTAATATGACGTGCGATAGCACAAATATTTTATTAATTTTTTTTAATAGACCATAACTAAAATTCAGCAATGGTTTATGATTGGAAACCTAGTATTATTTTTAGCAAATAACAGTTACAAATAAAATTATTTTAGATCATTCAAAGTGTGTTTTTATCAAGCATTTTCTTAATTAAAAGTTTAGTTTCGAGAGTTTAATATCAAAAAAAATCAAAAACATAAATAATCATTAATTTAACAAAACAAAAATAATATATAACTAGTCATATCAAGAATTTAACCAAGGTAATTAGGATATACTGAAATTTATTATTTTAATTGTTAAAAAAAATAACTTAATTGTTTTTGTTTTATTAATAAAAACATTTATTTCCTTCCGTCTTTATCTTCCTTTTATCAAATTATTAAATAATCATTATTTTTTCTTCTTTAATTTTTTTTTTATAAAATAAAATAGGGACTAAGGCCGGATTATTTTCATCAAAGCCTAGAAATTATTTTTATTTTATTGAGAGACTAAATTAGATTTTACATTTTTTTCTCAAAAATTAAATCTACACTTTTTTAGTCTTTATTTAAAATAAAATAACTGAACTATTTTAAATTTTGAACAAAACAATATTCTATTTGATTCAATCCTGATTAAATTTTATCTTGATCCAATCCTAAGAGAGTAAAGATTATATTTAAAATTAAAACTGCATAACCACTACTTTCCTAATTTTTTGTGAAGATAGTTTCCTAAAATTATGGTATTATTAGTTATAACATCTAGCAATTATCTCCTATAAATTAACACAATCTAACCAATCATTCAAAACTTTCAAGCTTGAGTCTTTTCTCCACAAAACTCCCTTTCTCCAACTTTGCAAACATTTATTTTTCTAAAGTGAAAGATGGTTCCATCGATTTGTGTCAATGGTTGTGGTTTCTATGCTTCTTCAAACAACAACCTCTGTTCAAAGTGTTACAATGATTATCTCAAAGAAAATATTGAGAAATCAAATGATCATGAAAGTTGTGTTATTGAATCAACATTTTCTTCTTCAATGAACCCTAATATTGATAGTATTTGTGAGACTGCTATTTCTCCATCGATTTGTGTCAATGGTTGTGGTTTCTATGCTTCTTCAAACAACAACCTCTGTTCAAAGTGTTACAATGATTATCTCAAAGAAAATATTGAGAAATCAAATGATCATGAAAGCTGTGTTATTGAATCAACATTTTCTTCTTCAATAAACCCTAATATTGATAGTATTTGTGAGACTGCTATTTCTCTTGCCGACAATCAAAACATTCTTGTACAAATGCCCACGTGATAAACTCTTTAACTCCTTCAAAATTTAGTGTAAGTCCATGTCTGCCTGGTAATGTTCTTCACACGTTCTCCAAGTGCTCCCTTCCTCGGGGGCACGTCACCGTCCAACTGCCCACCTCCGAAAGAGCAAGTCAAACCCATTTTTTAGAGATCACGGGACAGTTGGACTATGGCGGAGACCACGCCCTGGTCTTCACTACGCCACGTAAGCCCTAGCAGTCACCTGGGTTGGGCTTGGCAATCCAGCCCAACGCTGGGGTCTCTCTATAAATACTCATTTTCACAAGAGGGTCAGGTAATTCACTTCTTACCCCTTTTTTGTATTTGCTCTCACTCTGCCCAATTCCTTACTTTGGCATCGGAGTGTCTTGCAGGTACACCCCCTCCTCTTCATCAACATCGGTGAACAGGTAGCAGCCCAACAGAGTGTGACCCGCTAATGATCCCCTTCTGATCAGGTCAGATCAATTCCATACTACACATTTGTACTATCATTATATATCATTTTAATTAAATATGTAATTTTAATAAATACAAAATAATATAATTCTTTTCACATTATTTTAACCTAATATAAATAAAAATATTACTTCAATATTACTTCATATTATACAACAACATCTAATTTTGTAACATTATTTTAAAAATATTTTCTTAGTATAAAAATATAAAAATATAAATACAAACATATTTATATCCCGTTTAAATTGGCTCAAAAATCCCGTTTAAATTGGCTTCAAGCACTACGCCAAAATTACTTTTTTGTATCGCCTACTTTAATAGCGCTTTTAAAATAAGCGCTATTAAAAAGGAAACAAACATATTTATAATAGCGTTTTATAGTAAAGCGCTATTAAAAAGTACAGAGAATATGATTTTGATAGCACTTTGTAAAAAAGCGCTATTATAGATATTCACTAAGATAGCGCTTTTCTAAAAAGCGCTATTAAAATGTTGTATTACAATAGCACTTTTATAAAAGCGCTATTATTAAAATCACTACGATAGCGCTTTTTAAAAATCGCTATTAAAATATGTAACTACAATAGCGCTTTCTAAGAAACCGCTATCGTTCCTACCATTGTGTTTTAAGATAGCGCTTTTTAAAAAGCGCTATTAAAATAGTCCAAGTCCAATAGCAGTCAATGAAATAAAGAAATAAAAAGTAAAAATAAATCAGCAAAGAAAAACAATAGAAGCCAAGAGCCTTCTTCTTCGTATCATTACTCGAATTTCCCTCTCTCAATCTCGTTTCACTGGCTATCTCTTTCAAACTCTCTCCATCTCCTCTTATTCTATTTCTGAATCTGGTTTACGTTTGTTGATGATTATTATTCTGAACGGTTTGGTTTTGATGATGGAAATCGATTGAAGTTTGAGGTTTACGGCGGAAGGAATGGAGATTTGGATTACTGAAAGAGGGGTTAGGGTTTATGATTGGGTGTTCGGTTGTTTCACTTTGAATCTCTCTTCCACTTTCGGTTCTGGTTTTGGGGGTGTTTTGAAGTTGGATTTACGGATGAAATGGGTTTAAAGCCAGTTTGAAGTGAGGGATGGATTAACGGTCGGAGGTGAAGGTTTCTGGAAGGGGTTCCGATGGAGGTTTTGAAGGAGTTTTCCGGCGTTTTGTGTGTGGTTCTGTTAATGGTGAGAGATGGAATGTGGATTCTGTGTTGAAGATTTTCGGATGTTGAAGTTAGGGTTAAAAGAGGGGTTTAGGTCCGGTTCTGTTTTGATGTTAACGGAGGGATGTTTCCGGTGTTTAACGGTTTCGATGGGTTTCTGATGTTGATAGCGGCGTGCGGCGGAGTAAGGTGGGTCGAAGGGAGGTTTGTTGTTCTTCAGGTTAGGTTTGGGCGTTGAAGGATTGAGACATTAATGTTGCCATCAGTGGAGACCCAAATGCTTGGCGAGAGAAACATTTGTTGCGGTTCCTAAACAATGAGACAAACCGGTAAAAGCATCATTTTATTTTAGTGTTAACATTTCTGCTTTTGTTTGTGATTATGCAAATTGGGTTATACTTGCGCGTTGAGTATTTTGTGCTTGTTTTGTGCAATTAGTTGGATGGATTTTGATTTTGATTCGTTGAATGAGTTTGGCAACAGCTGGGTACTAGTATATTGAGGTTAATAACACTATTATTGATTAAGTTTCATGAAAAACTTTGTTGCCGATAACAGGGACTATAGGTTCATGACTGCTTGCATCTGCTGCATTATCAAAGTGTCGTAGCATTCTCCTGCATACATGTTCACGTGACAGTATAGTTTTGTGATGCTACTTTGGTTTCGATTCACACTTAGAGTAATTGTGATTATTTGGTATTAAATGGTTGCAAACTCGGTTGTCATATTATGCTAAATTTGTCACTTTTCGATTTCGATTCAGTACACTATCCATTTCAATCGCGTTTTTGAAGCTGAAAATTATTACATATTTATGTTTGAAATTGATGATAAAAATAGTTTGTTTTCATATTCAGTGTGTATCTTGCAACTCAGTTTTGCTGCAGAAATAACTCTTTAAATTCATGTGTATTGTGTTGGTTGCTATCCAATCTTGCGATATTTACTGCTCTGTTGTTGTTGTCAATAATTCGACGTGGCGGTAATATTTTGAATAAGAAAACTGTCTCGCATACATTTGACTATAATGGTTTCCCAGCAGAGAGATCAAAAACCGGTGGTTGGACTTCAGCTTCTATGATATTAGGTCTCATATAACACCCTCTCTTCTACTACGTACATTTTTTTTTATTTATTTATTTCAAGCTTCCTATAATGGTGTGTTTTTTCAGGAGGAGAAGTTGCGGAGAGGTTGGCAACACTTGGCATCACTGTGAATTTGGTAACATATTTAACAGGTACAATGCATTTAGGAAATGCTGATTCTGCCAACATTGTTACAAATTTTGTTGGAACGTCATTTATGCTTTGTTTGTTCGGTGGCTTTTTAGGTGACACTTACGTTGGAAGGTTCGTTTCATTCAAACTATATTTTTTTGTTAAATAGTTATTACAGTTTCATTCAAACTATATTTGTTTGTTAAATAGTTATTACAATATCAGTTTCACATAAGTATATGTTTCTTCTTTCACAGATATCTTAACATCGCCGTCTTCGCAGCCGTTCAAGCATCTGTAAGAAACCAAAATCTTAAAATATTCCTATTTATTTCCACTAGTTTTCCACCTTTTAATTCTTAATACTTGTTCGATGTTAGCTAACGTTTATTGTCTACTGTTTAAATGTTGTCTTATTATGATTGCCTCAACCAAATTTCTTTTCCTTTTTCGTTTCTGTTTCTTAATTTTGATTTCATCATGATGTGTTGGCTTGGAAAGTGATATAACACGACTTGTTTTTGCTTTGACTCGCACGACTTGTTTCAAAGGCTTGGAGAGTCTGCTTTGGGTATTGTAAATGGCCATCAAGTGCCATAACTTGGGCAAACTTATGCAGCCTTTATCTGGGGGAAAAGTTACTTCAGGCAGTAGTGATGAATTTGTATAATTAGGTTTTCATTTTTTTCACAACTCTGCCTTAATTTCAACTTCATTGCAAACTTGACAGGATGAAACATCATTACTTCGATACCAATTGTGAAGATTAAGGAATGATTTTACACACCAAGTTTAACATCACCATTTGTGGTTAAGTTAAGCCACGAGTCCCTCACAAATTCATTTAGAGTTTTTCCTTTTGAGACAAATTAAAACTCTTAAATGCATATGGCACCTGTGGTTGGCTTCCTTGAGATTGTTGTTGCTGCTAATGCAAACCTTCGCTTTCCTTCCAAAGTTGTTAACCTCTCGAAGTATTGATAATTTCTTTGTCATCAGTCAAAGAATCCTGAGCCTCCACTACCTCAACAGAGATGGACGTCATACCTTAAACATTCTTCAAGGTTGTGTTTAAGTTATTTCTTGCATTACTAAGTATCTTTATCTGGTCATGGTTGTCAACTATGTTTGGCATTCTTGACATAAATTCTCAATGGAGAGAAAGTTTTATCGAAGCTGATTTATTGTCTTCTCAGAAAAGGAGAGTGATTTTAGTCCTGCCTATGACTGCTCAACTTGCTCTGCAACCATTGTACTAAGTTATGCGTCATTGGCCTGTTGGTATGAAATGTAATCAGCTCTGATCGATGCAATGGAATGAAGAAGCTCCGGGAGAGGTAACAGCTTTGCAACCTTGCGAACAGATGCCTCCTTCGCTTCCAGACAGAGATCTTCGACCATCATTATGTTTTTATCGAAACTGGGACAGTAGCAATTAACCATTCTTGGGTGGCTGCTAATCAGGTTTGGTATTGTCATTTTACCTGATTTCACTTCTGCTAAGTTTCACAATGAAGTACATGCATTTGTAGAAAAATCTTTGAGTATGATAAATTCTGAAAGTTGGAAGTTCTATGTGATTTCTTGCGGCAGGATCTTGCTATGGCATTGCTATTTGTACTAGGATATGCAGGCATCATATTTGAAGAATCTCTAGCTTTCAATAAAAGCAGAGTCGGGCTATACTTTTTGCTTATTATAGGTATGTCTTCTTCTACTTTTCTCAACTTTCTGCTTCACAATCCTTCAAACTTTCCTTTATTCTCTTATGCTTATTATAGGTTGAGACTTTAAAATGTGCTATATCCCTCCTTGCCTTGGGAAGAACATGGAGAACAGAGGGCGTTATCGACGATAACAGGTCATACTTTTTATATAAATCAATATTCTTAGCCATAGCAGCAACCATATCAGTCTTAGCCATAGCAGCAAAGGCAGATGCTACTGCTGCTACCGAAATAGCAGCATGAACTTGATTACAGTAGCACAAACGATTACGATCGCGACCGTTAATATTATGGAGAGTCGCGGTTGATTACGGCTGATATAGCTTCAATCGCAGTCGCCTTGTAGTTTCCACATCATCAAAACTGTTATGTTGTGGCACAGATTATCGATGTTGCATTTTGTAGGAGTATTGTTGTTCAAGGAGCATTTTTCCTTCTTGATGATATATAAAGTTTTTGCAGACTTTTCATGGGCAGCCCATGCCGACTACAGTTCCTACTGCTCCACATCCACCAGCAATGCGTCCTAGAGTGCGGGCAAGAAGAGGACATGCTACAGATCCACACAGCATTGCTGAAAGGGTTGGCTCTAGTATCTTTTCTAAAATATGGATTTTCTGCTTGTTAATAATGCTTTTAATGAGGATAGCTAATTCCTTGATATTCTTATATTTTTTTATTCTTCTTTTTTCCATTTGATAACAGTTGCGCAGAGAAAGAATAGCTGAAAGAATCAGGGCTTTGTAAGAACTTGTTCCTAGTGTCAACAAGGTATGTGACTTCTGCGTGTTATTTTTATTGCAAGATATGTACTGTTTTGTACTTGTCTATAGAACTTGTGTAATTAGGTAAGTATGAACCTTTTCATGTTTACTATGACGTGAGAAAAAGATTCCATGGCCACCCAAAATTTGGCACAGCTTGTTAATTATTGCCTGAAACAAAAACAATGCTGAAAATGGAGCTTTGAGGGGGTGTTTAGACTGATTTATCTTGTATTGTTGTTAGATATTTGTTAGTTGATAGAATCTTGGTAGATATTGTTTGTTGCATACTTAGTCTGAACATAACGATCTATAGTTCTCCACTGCCATTGGTCATGTCTGTTTACACTTGAAGGATGATTTCATTCTAACTGCGTGTTTGAGTTTGTGCCCTTAAATAGTAGTCCTCCAAATAGTGATATCTCACATGTTTTCGGTTTTGGCGGTAAATATTTCCTTGTTTATTACAAGTAGTCTGGGAAACAATCCTATCAAAAGGTTAAAAAAACTGGATAAAATCAGCATGTATTCCGATTAGGCATATGCAAAATATTTAGAGTTCTGAAGTATGAAATGATTCATCTAGATTTCAAGATATAGAGATTTTTTTGAGTTAGTTTTGGTCTGATGTCTTTTTCTTGGTCTTCTTCATAAGCATTTCATTGTTTCTAATACTATGTGTATTTGTGCTTCATTCAGACAGATCGAGCTGGCATGCTGGATGAAATTGTAGATTATGTCAAACTCTTAAGGCTTCAAGTGAAGGTTAGTGCTTTTGTGATTGGCATGGATTTCACATTGATTTCTATCCTTGTTAGGTCTAAATTTATAATTAAATTTAGCTTGAGTGGGATTTGTTGCTTATTCTGTTAAACCTGTGTAGTGTTTACCTATGCCTTTTGACCTCTCACCCCAAGTTATCATCATTTCGTTCGGGTAATTTCAACTGGTTATTATGAGCCTTTTGACCTCTCACCCCAACTGGTTTTGTTTCTTATACACAGTTTAATTGTTGTTCTTGTGTCAACAGATTGTTAACATTAGGCCTTGACTTGTTTTGGACAGGTTTTCTTGATGTTGGTTCTTCGCTAGGTGACGACAACGAGATGGTCTTGGTTCTTCGCCAGGTTTACATGTTAACATATTTGACTGTCCTTTATTTCTTGACAAGAAAAAAATGTTGAGTTGCTATTAAAATGTGGCCCTAAAACTCAATGTCAAGGTTTGTTATTATTAAATGATCTACTATACTTTATAATCGAAAAGGTCGAGGTGGCTACGTGCTACATTTGAATATTTACGCAATTCTTTGGGACACATTTTTTCCAAGTATTGTTTTCATTATCGTTTCTTAAACAAATGATTTATTCTTTTAGATGGGAGGAAGAAACACGGTACATTTGGATGCATTAAGTTGGACGATTCCACTGGTTAGTGATATTCCAACGATAGTATTTGGAGCTGATGTAACTCATGCAGAATCCAGAGACAATAATTGTCCATCCATTGTTGCAGTAAGCATTTCCAAACTAATACAGCTCAGATATGGCCATCGTTTGATATATACTAATTATTTTCATCCAGGTTGTAGCCTCTCAAGACTGGCCAGAAGTAAGGAAGTATGCAGGGTTGGTTTGTGCTCAGCCTCATCGGGAATAACTCATCAAAGATCTTTACAAATGTTGGAAAGATCTACAGAGGGGAGTGGTTTACGATGGTATGGTCAGGTACTTCAGCAGCAGCTCTTCTAAGTTCTAAAAATTGGAATGAACTGTTCAGTTCAACTAGGAACCAGCCAATTTGATGGTTGGTTTGATCCTGGTTATACCTTAGTTTGATCAAAACAGATTGAACCGTGGCTCAACCAGTTCTGTTTTGTGCTTCTTCAGGGAGCTTTTACTTTCATTTAAAAAGGCAACTGGACAAAAATCGTTGAGAATAATCTTTTATAGGTAGGAATAATCTATATATAATATTGTATTTTCTGAATTATGTATACATAAGTAGAAATAATTCTAAAAATAAATATTAGGATGCTGGAGAAGGATATAGCTAGAGAATCTGCTCCGTATGCACTTGTGTTTATTATATGTTTATGATATCATTTTAGTTTTTATTGTTAAGCTGTCGCATTGAGATCTATATGAAGCTAGCTAGACCCATTTATATTGAAATACAAATTACTATAATCACTATATAGATAGTTATATAGTGAGTTCATGTTTTAAATCTGACTTTTTGAGTTAATTATATCTATTTTATTAGTCATATAACTCATGATTTGTTATCAAATAATATTCAACTACTAGAAACACTTATTTAAATCCCTGTTAGTTGAATCAGTCCTATATAAGTAAAAATATACGGATATAGAAAATTGGGGATGGATTGTACTAGCATTGTAGAGTAACATATACTTCATGCATGATGTCTACATGAAAAAGAGTGACAGAGACTGATTGTAGAAAGGGGACAAGCAGAGTTAATGATTATAAGCTTGAATATAGTTCTAGATTTTTTTCACTAGCACCTATTATCTCCAATTAAGAGAAGAGCACAGTACCTTTGATTGGAGGTTTCAAAATTTTGTGGATTTGTGATAATTGCATTTTCTCAAGCAAGATTGTTAATAAAATGCAAGTCCTGATATTACATCACGGACTCAAGGTTAAGGGCATCTATTAGAATAAGGAAGGGATTTTTCTGTTTATGAATATATAGAGTGGAGTATATTTTGAACCAAGAAGAAGAGTCAGCAATAATTTTTTGGCTACATGGTTTTATTCACATAGGATGAGACTCTTAGTCTAATGGCATTATCTACTTAGCGATCATACACAAAATTTGCATAAGATAATGATTTTCTATCTAGTTATCAGGAGTTTGCATTTTTTTCTTGCTCAATTTAATTGACGTTTTCTTTGTGCAAATATATTCATGGTTAGGCTAGTCTAAAGCATCATGGCATCCTTAGACATTGCCTACAATTTGGGGAAGCTGCTCCTGTTACTCTTGGAAGTAATAAGTGTCATGTGAAATTAAATGCAATTTCACGCAACACGAATATGCTTCCTGCGACGGCTTCCAAGCCACCAGGCATTGGGTTGCATTTAAATAGCATTATAAATGCAGTGCCCTTTAGTTGTCCTTCATCTATTGGGGTGAGATTATCAGATGGTTTACAAGGGATGCACTCCAAATCTTCTATAATTTTGCATAAATGCATTTTCAATTCTTTTGCCCATAGTCATAAATTCGAAATTAATATTAAAACTATTTTACCTTCTCTTCTCTCCCTTCTTTTGTAGTATCTTCTAGTTTCAAAAGGTGATTTGATCCTCGCCAACATCATCAATCCATTGCTGTATGGACTTCGAGGAGTGAGAAATGGATTCGGTCTCACAACATCTGGAGTTTTGACAAATAGTTCTAACCTGATCAGCCTGATTTTGACGGCTCTTTGAAGAAGGAAGGTTACAAAAGTGCTTCTGCTAAAGAGAAGGTTGTAAGAAAATGGGGTAGTGATTAGTATTTAATGGATTTACTTGTTTGTAACCCAAAAGGTTTTGTCTTCCCTTGGCATCTGAATAATTAGTTTTGGTTTTCTCTGTGGTTGTCCTGAGAATTTAGTTCATGTGCAAAATAATTAGTTTTGGTTTTCTCTGTGGTTGTTTTTCCTTGGCATACTAAAAAAAATGTTATTACAAAAAAAATCGACTTGTTAGCTAAATTAATGGTATCACATTTGTCATTATTATTTTAATTTCAAGTATTTTAGCTACTTAGTTATAATTATTTTATGAATTCTATTAATGTTGTAAAATGCAAATGCCATATATATAAAATGATTTGGTGTAAAAAAAAGTGTATTAGAATAGCGTTTTGAAGAGAGCGTGCTATAATAGCGCTTTGT